GCTCTACATCTGTTTTGTTCACTGCAGAAAACTCGGGCCAAGCTCTGTTTCTAGCAGGTAGTGGGTGCTTAATAAATATTCTTTGAATGAATGAGTGGCCAGAGAGATGGGGCAGGGCTGTGATCACACTAGCTACTTCTGTGTGCCCTGTACTCAGACAGTCTTCTAGGTGTTTTATTTTTTCACTGAGTTTCTCAACAGTAGTCCTTTGAATGGACAATTTCATCATCAGTACTTTAGAGGAGGAACCTGACACTCAGAGAGGCCCTCTGCACGGTTGTGGCCTTGTGTCCTCTTTTCTAGGAGGGAAGCCATGGCAGGTGTCAAGGGAAGTACAGAGGCCAAGAGAGGGCCTTAGGGAGCTTCCCTATCCATAGCTGGGCCTGGGATGGTGCCTCTAGCCCCTCTCGTCAAAAGATTCCCAGAGACTCCCCAGGAGCTACATGCAGCTTGGCCCTCCCCCTCCACCCCATAGACCTTTTGTCCTTCCTGAATCTGGGTGGGCTGGTGAGAGGGCTTCTGAGTGTGCCTTTCTCAGGGGGCTCGGGGTTGGGGTGTTAGTGTGGATGGTATTAGGAGGACCTGGGTTCAAATCCCAGTTTACCCTTCACCCCCTGTGTGACTAAGAGCAAGTGGCCTCACCTCTCTGGGCTCCTGTTTTTGTTTTTTTGTTTTTTATCTCTGAAATGGGGATGTGGTGGGATGAAATGAGGAAATAAGTATAAAATGTTGAAAGTCAGGCCGGGCACACAGGCGTTCTTCGCCTGGTTCTGCAGAACAGTCAGCTGTGGTTCCTCTCACATCCCAGAGCCTTCCCTTCCTTGGTCGGAGCACATAGCCTGTCACCTGAGTCCCCTTGGCCGGATGCCCCCGTGCCCTCCAGGGCTGGGGGAAGGCTGCCGTGAAGGGCTCTGGGAACTGGCAGGTGTCTGGGGCCGCAGCCTGGGAGCAGCTCGCTGAGGTGGCACTGCCCCTGAAGCTCTACCCAGCCCTCCCTGAAGTCAGGTGAAGGACAATGGGGTGCGTGTGGAACAGCTTGGCTGGAGTGGGGGCTGCAGCCAAACAGCACCTCCTAAGAGAGGGTCGGCTAGTGCCTCCCCTGCGGCTGCTGGAATCACAGACCGGGTCTCAGTTTCCCTATCTGTAAAATGGGGACCCACCTTGTGGAAATGTTTACCAACCAGGCAGGGGGCAGCAATTGTCCTGGCCTGGCCTCTGGGGTGGTGTGAGGAGAGAGGCAGGAAGAAGCAACAGAACAGCAGTAAAGGGTTTCTCTGTCTTGTCTTCAGATCGCCGTCTCTGCCTCCTTCCCACCCAGACTTCATTTCCGGCTGTCAGTCAGGGGCGGGGGGGCGGGGGGCAGGGTGGGGTGGGCTCACACAGCTCCCCTTTGGTTATGGTGGACTCAGCCCTGGGGTCTGAGAGAAAAGGCGGAGGCTGAGGTCCAGGCCCCACCCCCCGTGTTGGCGGGGGTCCCCACATATGGCCCCATCTGGATTTCGGTTTTCCCATCTGTGTGGCATGGGGTCAGTTGGTTCCCAATTGTGGCTGTCACTGTCCCTGGGGGAGGAGGGGCAGGGATGCCAGGAGTCCTGCGGCGAGTCCTTCAGGGACAGCCTGGCACACCAGAGAACATGATGCCCCGTGGAGCCCCATTAAATGACACCAAGAAGGACCCCGCAGGCCTGGCTAGGCGTAGGGAGGAGGTCAGGAGTACGTGCTGGACAGTCACAGTCTGCAAAGCCATTCCAAGTCTCTGGCCCTCACGGGCGGGAAGCGGAGGCTCATGCAGAAGTGACTTGCCCAGAGTCACATAGTTTAAGGGTGGCAGAGCTGGGATTTGAGCCTGGGTGCACCTGACCTGTGTGCTCAGCCACCTTCTGGTCTGTTTCACAGTGTTGGTATGAGAGTCTTGACAGGAGGATGGATGGATACGTGCTTTCTGACTCATGAGTACGTAGCCTCCCCATCCCTAGAGCGTGGGTGCTTTTAATTATCCTGTTGTACAGCGAGGAAGCTGAGGTCCAGAGAGGGTTGGACGCATGCTCCTGGTCGCCCAGCAATCCGTCCTCCAGTTGTCTCACAAAACCTGAGGACGTGTGGGTGTCAGGGCCTCTTCTGAACATGGAGGTGTGCCCACCAGCTCAGTGGCCCTTCCACCTCCCGTACGTGGTCCAGTCTCCCTCTCGGCCCATTCACAGTGTTGGAAATGCGGGACAATCCAACACTCTGACTGGGAGATGCTGTGGCCCGGATCCCTGGCAGGCCTGGCTTCCAGCCACCTTGCACACCCAGCAGCAATCTGTCCCCCTCTTCCTCTGCTTCCCTGAAGTTTGGCAGCGTTCGTTGGATGAGAGGGGTCGTCTTTGGAGCAGGACCAACAGCAGCTCCGCCTGCTCTCGGCTCCCAGAAGGGACCCTTGCTGCTAATTGCCAGGCCCTCCTCCTTTCTCCCTCAGGTGGTGCTGCCCGGCTGAGGTCCTCGCAGAGCCTTCTTACTCCCTGGCTGTACAACCATCCTTGGCTCCCATTGCCTGCAGGATGAAAGCCAAACTCCAAACAGAGCACTACTCAAACTTCATTTGTGTCCCCTGGGGAGCTTGTTCAGATGCAGATTCTGATTCAGGGGGCCAGGGTGGGGCCTGAAAGTCGGCATTGCTGAGGAGCTCCCAGGGAGGCTGCTGCTTGTTGGCTACCCTTGGAGGAGTGAGGCCTTACTAGGCCCTTGGTGACCTGGCTGTCCTGGGACATGTCCCTGTGTGTATGTCCCACTTGGTGTCCTCACTGCTCACACAGGACAGCGTGCCTGGGCGCACACCTACAATGCATTGTCCCTTCTTTGACTCATTCCCTCTCATCCTTCAAAGTCAGACTCAAAACACCTACCTCCTCGGTGGACCCCCGACAGAGCTAACTGCTCCTCCTCGGCACTTCCAGACCCCTTTATAACCCCTGAAATCCTGAGAGGCACACAGCAGTGCCTTTTAAAAGAGACCTCTTGGGTGTGAACCTGGCTCCACCCCATAGCCAGGTGACCTTGAGCAAGCTGCTTAACCTTTGTGCCAAATGTTTATTTAAACCCTGCCTTATTCCAAAATGGACCAACAGTTGCTTCCAAACCCACTCTTGGATAAAACCAAGTGAAAACGTGCTCCGTGGGATTACAGGGACAGAGGGCAGGGGGAAGACACTGTTTCCCACGTGTCTCCTGGTTTCTCGGTCCCCAGTGCCTGGCACAGCAGGCATTCAGAGAAACGCTGCATGGAAGCTCTCCCATAACCCATGGCGTGACCTTTCCAGGAGCTTCTCATCCACAAAAGTAAATTCCAAAGGAGCAGGAAGAGAGACAGATCACCAATCTTAATCGCTCATTTAAATGCATCTGTAGGGCGAGCAAATATTTTCTTACAAGAGGGGACGGATGTAGCTCTAAAATCTTGTGCACCAGGCAGTCCTCCACCCTGAAGGGGCTGTAAATATGGGGTGGAGGGCTGCCTGGTGCACAAGACTTTAGGGTAAGAGACTGGGGGTCTATTAAGAGCAGTTTACAGGCTGACAAGGGCCGTGTCCCTTCCTGCCTGGTGTGGAGCTGAGACAACCCCGAAGTGGCCCTTCGTGTCCTGCTGATGGTCAGGGTCCTCACTGAGAGCTTCATCCTGACTATTGCTGGGCACCATAAACCACACTGAGAGCCTGCACCCCCTCCCTGCCTGCCCCCATTCTCCCAGCAAATTCCTCCCAATGCAGGTCCCCTCTCTCTGACCCAGTGCTCACCACCCCTTCCATGGCTGAGACCTTGACCTCACTGCCGGCCCAACAACTTTGCCTGGAACCTGGAGCCTGCCCCCAGGACATATGTGAAGTCACCCAAAGAAGCAGGCACCCTTGGAAAGTAGGCAACAGGAGGGAACCTAGAAGGGCACCCAGTCCCTAACCACAGTGCTGTACATTTTCATTCACTGCAGAACACGGAACAAATTTGAACCCCACTTGTTCCCATGTATCCAAGCACTCCACGGGAGCTAGGACCTCATCTGTCTTGCTCTGCCTGCATTCAGCAGGAGGGGACGTATAGTCAGGCGTATGGGCTATTGACCGTGTGTGGCTCTCACCCACCCTTCTTCCCAGCACCTATGTGGTGCCCGGCCCTCAGCTGGTGCCCACACACACTGGTGGGATGGGGAGCACAAGCAGCTGGACAGCTGGAGGAGGGGCCTTGTGTGTCCATCGGGGTTGTCAGGGTCAGTCCTGAGCTGGCGTGGAGGAATCCAGGAGTGTGCAGGGCTGAGGCCCAGCTGGGGCTGGAGTTGTGACCAGCTGCCCCTGCCCGTCAAGCCCAAGGCAGGCAGATCCTCTGCCCATCTTGCTCAGTGTTCCCCAAAGGCTGGGGGATGCTCCATGTGGCAGGCTTTGGGCTTATCCTCCCCACTCCCCACCTGACAGAAAAGGAAACTGAGGCCGGGAGGAGGTAGTTGGAATGTCAGCGGAAGAGCCCCAGGGGACTCTGAGCTCAGGGGCTTCTAACCTGAGACCTGCAGACGCTCTCTGGCATATGGCTGTACTTTATCTGGCTCATGTTCTGGCATTCTGTGCAAGATTCTGTTGGAATCTGCTACTTAAAAAAAAAAAGTTTGGAAGACACTGTTCCTCTTTTCTAGATGGAAAAACTGAGGCCTGGGGAGAGCAGTCACTTACCAAAGTCCCAGGGCCAGTTAGGAGCAGAACTGGCCCCCCGGGGTCTGTCTGCCTGGGGACCCAGCAAGAGGACCCGGGCGTGCCCTCTTCTGAGCTCCCCACCGAGACTCAGACTGTGGGCATGGGGGGGGTGTGTAGGATGACTTCCGAGAGCCAGCCACACAGTGGCCGTGTCCCCTTTAAGCAGAGAGCCGCCCGCTGCAGTGGGTGGACTCGGTGCCCAGCCAGTGGGAGCTGTGAGCTTCCCTCCCACAGCCCCTCCCTGGGGGAGGGTGAGGGAGGGTGAGGGAGGGCTGAGCAGCGTGGCTCCCTTGGGAGTTGGTGGGCAGCCGAGGAGACAATAGCGGACATGCTGTGTGGGCTCAGCCGGGAGACCCCTGGAGAGGAGGGTAAGTCTTGGGGACCTGGAGGCAGAGTGATGGGGCTGAACCCTCTGGAGCTTCTGCTCCCAGGGAGGAAACTGGGACGGCTACTCCCCAGAGACCCCAAGCCTGGAGAGAGTGCAGGGCCGGGACCCCTGAGCAAGCTGGGTGGGCGCACGAGAGGACTCTCTGTCTGACCCTGGCTGCCGTCCTGCAGTCCTGCGGCTGGACACTGAGCCCACCAGGCTGTCCCCTGTCCCGTGCGGCAGGGGCAGCAGGCAGGTCTGGGGTTGCAGAGGGCAGCGCTCAGCCCCTCCGAGGTGCCTCAGGGAGGCGCGTCCTGCCTCCACATGGGAATGGGCTGGTGGGAGTGAGCTCCCTGCGCAGCGATGTGAGGGCAAAGGCCGAGCTCAGGCTGGGGCGGGGTGGGGGGCGGTGGGCTTCTGTAGCAGGCGGGAGGCTGGACCGGCTAGCAGACGGCAGAAGCCCTGGCCCAGCGTCTGGCTGGTGAGCCCGGGGGCGGTGGGAATGCATGCGGCAGGAGACCTCCAGCAGCCCCGTTCCTAGGTGGGCCCAGGGTTGGCCCCGCGGGAGGGGCTCTGGAGCAAACGTGGTTGCTCCATCCATCTGGCTGGCTGCCTGTCTCTCCAGCCTCATCCTGCTGGGCTGCCTTCCTCCCTTGCTCCCCCCTCCCCCAGCTTATCAAGAGCCACCAGCAGGTCACGCTGGCGCTACCCCTGTTGATCCCTTCCCACACTCAACATACTTTTGATGGTACCTCTTTGAAACAGTTCCAAGGGCAGGGGCTGTGGCCCCAATGGACAGATGAAGAAACAGGCTCCGGGGGTTGGGGGGCATTGCCCACCCAAGGCCCCACAGCTACGGTGAAGCGGCCAAGCCAGGACTGGCACCCAGATGACTTTTATAGCCCAGTGAACTTAGTCTCCCACTCCACACCCATGGCCAGGGGCAGAGACAGGGCCACCCCCAGGTCCCCAGATAATAACACAGATAATAATAGTAGCTGACAGCTGTTGAGATCTGACTTTGTGCCAGGCTCTGTTCTAAGCTCTTTCTGTGCATTTTCTCACTTAATGTTCACAATACTGTGAGTTTGGTACTATTCTTCTCTCCATTTCACAGCTGGGGAAACTGAGGCATGGAGGTGTTAAGTGACTTGTCCAAGGCCACACAGCCAGAAGTAGCAAAGCTGGGATTTGACCCCATGTAGTCTGCCCCTGCTCCCTCCTGGGGACTACACTATTAATGGGGGCACTGCCTTCCTGGCCTGGATTTATCTGTTCTCTCGACCTAAGGCTCAGGTTAGTGGGGTGACCTTGTCCTGCAGTGGTCAGAGCCACAAGGTCAGTAGTGCCCTGGAGACTTCCTCTGGAGGACTACCGGGGAGGTGTCTTCCCCCACCTCATGGGCCTATGGCCTCCACCTGGGTTCAGACCTCAGCATTGCCTGCCTGGACCTTTGCCCCAGTCTCTTCCTTGGCCTTCTAGCCTCCACCCCACCTCCCCATGCTGCTCTGGGAGGGAGCTTGCTAAAACTCAAATCTGATCACAGCTCCTTGTCTTTTTTTTTTTTTAAAGATTTAATTTATTTATTTGTCAGAGAGAGAGAGAGAGCACAAGCAGGGGGAGTGGCAGGCAGAGGGAGAAGCAGGCTCCCCGCTGAGCAAGGATCCCGATGTGGGGCTCCATCCCAGGACCCTGGAATCATGACCTGAGCCGAAGGCAGACGCCTAACTGACTGAGCCACCCAGGTGTCCCACACAGCTCCTTGTCTTGGCGTTCAAGGCCCTTCTTCATCTCCCTGGCTTTTTCTCTCTCTGTTGACTTACTTGACGCCCACCCTCACCACTGCAGTCCTCACCCTAGTCTCCTCCCCAGGCCACAGAACCTCATGATTACATCTGCCATAGTTGATGTCAGCACTGAGACTTTTTTTTTTTTAAGAAAAGTCCAAAGATGGAGCTTAGGCACAGTGGGATCCAGGTGCTCAGTTAACCTCATTAGGACTCTGGGTCTCTGCTTCTCTTTAGGTAAGCTTCATTTTCATGCAGACTCACTTCTCTCTTTGAGGTGCCCAGAGGGCCCTATAACTCTTGAGTTTAAGGTCAACCAGGTCAGTCATCTCTAAGGAAAGAGAACCTGTTTCCAATTGTTCCAGTAAACATCCCAGGGCCACCTTTTGTTGGCCCAACTTGGATCACATGCTCACCCCTGACCTGATCACTAGGCCTCTGATTGACCAGCCAGGCCTGGGGGTGGGGGGGACAAGAGCAAGGGGGACAAGAGCAGCCAACAGGTGGCCACTCCATACACTCTCCACATTTTGCAGGGAAGGCTGAGGCCCCGAGAAGTCAGGCCCCTTGCAGAGCTCCTCAGTGAGAGCCAGGCTTGGGGTTGGGGTCTGTGAAACGCACTGCTCAGTGCCCTTTCTCTGCCCCTGATGGACTCCTGCCTGCACATGTCCTGTCTTGCTTCTGGGAGCCTTGTTCACCACCCACTAACCCTAAGCCCCTGCGGAAAGGGATGTGACCAGGCTTGGGTGCACAGTAGGCCTGAATAGAGATTTTGGCAGGAAGCTCCACCCCCAGCCCCTCAGTGTTCACTCTCTGCCTCCCTGCCACAAAGTGGTCTTTGTTCTCAGGGCCTACTGGGCCTCAGTGAGCACCGGCCGCCCAGCCAGGTCCTGGGAAGGCTCAGACAGGCTGTGTATGCATGTCACGGGGGTAGGGGAGGGTAGTCCTTCCACTGTGGCCTGGGCCGCCCATCCTCTGAGGGACTCTTACCATAACTGCCTAGATCGTCAGGCAGGCCTGACCTCCTACCCCACAGCAGGGGCTGTGGCCACGGGGAAACCCCAGGCCCTTGATCACAGAGGCCGCAGTGTGGAACCAGGGAGGTCCAGCTTTGCATCCTGGCTCTGCCTCTTCCTGATTTTGTGACCTTGAACAACTTATTTCACCTCTTTGATCCCCATCCTCCTACTCTGTAAGTAGGAATTGAATTCCATATTATTTACTGAGTACTTACCGTATGCCACGCTTTCCATGCTGGACATGGTAGTGAGCAGACAGACGTAACCCAGCCTTCTGGACCTGAAACCCAGTGGGCAGAGGCGGATAGTAAATGAGATCATGACATTTTTTTAAAAAGTGAGGTCTGTTACATAGTGTTGAGTTCATGAAAAAGATAAAGCAGGAAAGGAGGGTTTGAGAGGTGCTAGAGGTATGTGTGTGTGGGGGGGGGGGAGGTTGTGCAACAAGTTTATTGGGGAGGACCTTCCTGAGAAGATGACATTTCCACAAATTCCTGAAGGATGTGAGGGAGGGAATTTGTGAATCCTGGGGAAGAGCCTTCTGGGCAGAGGGAATAGCCAATGCAAAGGCCCTGGGGTGGGCACAAGTCTGGTGTGGGGAACAGTAGGACGACCAGGGAACTGGAATGGAGCTGGCAAAGGGGAGAGTGTTAGGAGGTGATGTCAGGGAGGCCGAGGGACTGTCAATTGTGGTGAGAACTTTTGCTTTTATTCTTCACAGAGTGAAATGAATCTTTTTACTGCCCCAGGCAGCCACCGTCAGGAAATAAAACGGTTCCATTGATGACCCAGTTTTAAGGTCATGCTCCTCAATATTGCTGGTTTCAGGGTGAGGCGGGAGAGCCTCGGCCCAGAAGAGGCAGAAGGCCAAGGCCTGACTCGAGCCTGCACCCTCATCCCACATGATGTTGGGGTCACCGTGGGCTCTAGGGCCATGGCAGGGATGTCAGCCTGGGCGTGGCTTCAGGGCCCAGTGCCAGGCGTCCCACACACCTCATGGAGGGGGGATAGTGGGCTGGCAGGCTCTTCAGATCATGCCCACGGCCCCTGGTACTCTGCTGTGCCCAGCCTCTGGGTGCTTGACCTCAGGGCCTCCTGGAGTCTGGCCCTGGCTTCCCTGGTGCCACTCCTTTGGGGTCCCTTAGCCTTGTGTTTAGAGGGCGAGCGCACAGCCGAGGGGTAAGGATGTGGCTTGCTGGGAGGCCAGAAAGATCTGGACTCCAGTCCTTCCTCTGCAGCTCACCAGCTGAGTGACCTCTCTGGGCCTCAGTCCCTGCATCTATAAAATGAGGAAGTCGGCGAGCTTCTCTCCCGACGTTTTCGGCAGAGTTAAATGAGTTAGTGCATGGAAAGTGTGGGCCTGGCGCTCCTTTTTCATGTTCTTTTTTCTCAATCCTTGGCAGCAAGTGAATCGGGCATCTACTTTTAAAATCTCTTGGTATATTTCTTGCTTCCCTTAAAAACATGCATTGAACAGAAGGGGGGGTCATGCTGTTGCCAAGTTGATCTTTCCTTGCTTCTCTCTCCGTGGGAGGCAGCCTCTGGAGAGACTTGTCAGCTGTGGGGATCAGGGATCGGGGCTGTCACTCCGAGGTCAGCCTGTACCGGATGTGTCTCCATCCAGCTATCTGCCCTGGTCTAGCCTGCAATGGCCTGAGGGGCGTCCTTCTGTGGGCAGTGCCCAAAGGAGCTGGGCTGTTGCCTGGAGTGCAGGGATCTCAGAGCCATAGGCATGACGGCGGAGTCTCCCCAGGACTGTCATGGCGTGGGAGGAGGAGGCTGGAGGGGGCCCATGGCTCTGCCATTTAGGAGTTGTGTGACGCTGGGAAGTTCCCTTGACCTCTCTGTGCCTCCGTTTCCTCATCTATCACATGGGGATGATAATGGCACCCACTACATAGGAGTATCGTGAGGATAAAGTGGTAATCATTTTAAAGGTCATAGAACATGGCTTGGGTTCAAATCTCGACCCTGCTCCTTACCATTGGAAGTCAGTTAACCTTTGTGTGCCTCGGTTTGCCCCTCTGTAAAATGGGAATACTGATCATACCATCGCAGAAGGTAGTGAGGATGAAACGAGACAGTGCTTATGAAGCACCTAGCACAACACCCAGCGCTTAATCAGAAGGAGTTGTTACCATTATTAATCTACAAAAACCTTTCTAACAAGGTCAGCGATGGGGGCAGGGAGAGAA